TATTTCATTTAATAAATGTTTTGTTTTGATATATAAGTTGTTCGGGATTTTTCATCTAAAAAAGAAAGAGAATTAATTTCTTGAAGATCTAATACATAACTATGAACAAAAACTATAAAACCATAGAGTAATTTAAAACAAACTGGTCTCTACAATTTTATTTTTCTCAATAAACTCTACCAAAGAAATCAGTACCATATTAGTAGTCACAGAGACGAGAAACCAATGCTGAAAATAATTGTATCATTGAAGATGTGGTTATTTATTGTTTTAAGAACGTGTAGTCAGAGTTGTGAAAGTTGAAATATTTTCTGCTTACAGTGTATAAGTGCCAGTTATTCAGAAGGTTGTACAAAATGAACAAAAAGCCCAGTGATCAGTGATGTTACAAAGGCACAATGCTCAAGTAAATACATAAGTTAGAAAAACAGATGAAAGTGATACATTACTATACTAATGCAGTGTTGATAGTAATGAAGTTGCATACAGTAATATTTTAGTTTTATTGTCACTGTATCAACTGTTTTTACTACTACATTGTTACTTATCTCATGCAATGTGTATTATAATTTTCTTGCTCCTGTGTCTACTGTTGTTACTTCTACATGGGTTAGTTATTTCTATGCTTATCCTTCTAAAATATACTATTAACTACAATGATAAATGGTATTAATTTTTTTTCTTCAACATAAACAGTTTATTTTGAAATATTTGCTGTGGGTGATCTGTTCAGAATTTGGTAATACTTTACCAGCTTCACTTACCAGCATAGATTTGTCAGTTATTATATAGAGCATCTCAGAGTCATTTGGTCTTGTTTCAGTTACAATTATTGGCTCACTAGATACACAATAGTTTTGTCTAAGCCAATCAACCAAGTACTACTTTCCAGCTGAGTTTGCTCACTACACGAAGAAAGTTTAAAAGATTGTTTTCATGGGCTTGGAGGATCCATTTCTGTTCCATCACTGCTTTTCACATAAATTAACTAGTTTTAGTTTTTCGTTATCTTAATTTGATCTCAATATTTTTGGCTTATGCCATATTCTTCATTATAATCTTTCATAATGTTAAGAAAACATGTAGTTTAAAAAAAAGTAAATGAAAGACAAAATTAAGAAACCATAAAACCTGAGCACTTTCAAACAGGGAACCCTGATGAAGACAGGTCTAACTTTCAAACAGGGAACCATGATGAAGAATCAGGGTTCCCTGTTTGAAAGTTAGACCTTTCTTCATCATGGTTCCTGTTTGAAAGTTAGACATTTCTTCATCAGGGTTCCCTGTTTGAAAGTTAGACCTGTCTTCATCAGGGTTAGTTTGAAAGTTAGACCTGTCTTCATTCTTCATCAGGGTTCCCTGAGGTCTAACTTTCGAAAAACCCAGGTTATAGGGTTTCTTATTTTTGTTTCTATATTAATATGAGGGGCCTGCAGTAGTATGCTCATTTCTTACTTTATACAATTATCAGGGTAAATTCAAAACTTAAAAGTACATTTTACTGCCTGGAAACCTGTGCTTTGTGTACAGATATTACTTTTCTGCTGTTAGTGTTAAACTATCAAAGATTCTGCCAGTAAAGAAAGAAAATTCTTCAAACTTATTAAACAATATGAAACTTCATACTTAACTGAAAATGCTTCATCAACTCTGGGCATTTTACATCTTAACAATGGATTATCAGAAAGTGGTTAAAACAGAAAACAAATTCTAGTATGCTTTGGCTGATATCCAATACAAGTTCAGCATCATTACTAAGGTTCTGCTGCAAAGTCATAAAGAGAACTTCTTCTCAAGGCATGCCTTTTCTAAGATAAAGTGCTCTAATCTGGGCATTTTACATCTTAACAATGGATTATCAGTAAGTGTTAAAACAGAAAACAAATTCTAGTATGCTTTGGCTGATATCCAATAGAAGTCCAGGATCATTGCTAAGGTTCTGCTGCAAGGTTATAAAGATAACTTCTTCTCCAGGCATGCCTTTTCTAAGATAAAGTGCTCTAATCTTTTTCCAGGACATTGCCAGTGGTGTTATTTTGGGAAACAGATGTCAATATTGTGACTGCTATTTTTTAGTTTTATCTCTGACCAAACAAGCTACCTTAATTGTTATTTAGTGTATCTTCTCTTATATTTGATGCTCTCAAAATTGTTAAAACTTAACACACAACAGAATTTTAATAAGATACTTTGTTATTTGGTTTATTTTCCAAATCAATAAACATCTACATATTCCTACCTCTTTGATCTAGTGTATAATTTCAGATTCATTATGGAAATTCAAAATGAGCTTCATTTAAAACAAAAAAAAGTTGTACAACATTTGTATATAATTTGATTTATTTACAAAAAACATAGTTAAGAGAGGTGCATGATAATGTGTTATAAATGTTAGAAGGATCCTCAGCCAGTACAGTTCCCCCTTTATATTTTCTAAGTAGTCTCATTAAATCCAACAGTTTCCTTCTGAACGAAAGAGAAGGTTTTCTGTCGTCATGACTTGCGAAGACGAGTAGTCAGAGTCCTGTGTGGAACTACTAGTTTTCAGCCTCTCTTTCAGTGGATCTGAAATCTTGTTATGATTCTCAGCTGACTTACAAATGTTATCTTACATAGAATGCTACTTTGTAGAGTGATGTAATTAATATAAGAATACAATCGTAGGCCACACTTCTCCCTCCAAATGTCAACAAGGAGACATTTTTGAAAATAAGGAGAGCTCACATTTCTGCAACAAGTTCATTCACAACATAGAAATTTTCTTTGATAAAGGAAAAGTTGTTTATTTAATGCTTAATTATTTCCATTACATGTGTGTGTGTGTATAAACATATATATGCACATGCAATTTGGAGCATTAAATATCGATGATTGTAATTTTTAATTTAAAAAGTTCTCAGAATGTAAGAAAACCATTATATTTATTTATTTTTTGCTGAAAAATACATGACACCCTTTCCAATCGTCACCACTCTTCTGTAACCCACTGATAATAATTAGTCCAATTACATCTATCAGTACAACATACAGTTAATTTTTTTTTTCTTTGCTTGTTTGAA